TTTATAGACAAAACATACTACAGAATTATCAATTAATCTGGGCATTAATCTTATAGTTCTATTGTCATAATACTCTACCTAATTGAGCTATAGACCATAGAAGAGTTATACCCAGGCCATTACAACTTTAAATCAAGACTTCTAAGTCGAACCTCTGATCAATCAGAATACAGTTGGTTACATTTCACTATTGACTTTTCTATTTAAGTCCTTAACTCTTCTGGTACAACATTCACTGTTCACCAACCACAGCCAAAATGGAGAAATCTACAACAAGAACTTTATATTCTGCAACTTGACAGAACAAGAGACCTACTTTCGAGGTGCTGAAGACTCAAAGAGTCAGCCTCTCCTTCTCCTCGGCATAAATGAAGATGCACCACAGATTGACACATCTGATATAAGGAACTGTTTAAGGATTCCAGTGGACTAGCCCTACGACCCTCTGACCTATTGCGAACAAGAAATGGGAACCTTAGCAGTTTAAGTTAATATCCAAATCAGCATGGTGATCAAACGAAGCTTGCTCACCATGCACCTTGGGGTTATTGTACTCATTTTCTTACTGACTGAGGGGCTTAACACTAACCACATCAAAGTGACATCACATAATACATATATACACCTCTGCTGGGAACATCATACAATGAAACCAAACAGCCTTCCCAGAATTAAAATACAGAAAATCTATCATAGCTCTCTGAAGGCAACTATAGCGTAAATTTCACACCCGCAATGACATTCTTGGAAGACATCAGGGCTTTTACATTTTTGGCTGCAGCTCAACCACCACCCAAGTGGTTACATAATCAATGAGACTGGAATTGTTAACAACTCCCCCCCACTGGTTACTATCGAGCAGCCCACTCTACAACAAATCCAAATATTGAAACAGCACTATCAGGAGCAGGTTACTAATTGGACTGGGGCATGGTCAATTTACAACTGAGAAGAATACAAGTGCAGAAGAGGGAAGAACAACGAAGTAAAAATGAAATGCAGTTGTTCCTACTGAGCTGGTCTAGACCTAGAAAGCACTGGCTAAAGAAATGATGTGACAAATTGTCGCAGCCAGCAAGAGGTCAACTACCACATCCTTGGGACTCAAATAAAGGTGGAGGTTCCAGTCTTGGATTGTTGTATAACCCACAACATTACTGTAAAAGAAATTCAATATTTGAACATATAAATATTTCATATTTATGTTTTCATCATTCAATATAAATACTTTAGTAACATATGTAATATAGTTGCTTTTACGTTTATCATGCATTTCTTTTTGCTGTTAAATATTCTATCTGGTACAGGATTTCAGTTTTTATAAATCTTTTTTATCATATCTTGCTTTAATATAAAGGGTTTATTCTATGAACTTGATGTAATCAGCCTTTTCTTTCCAATTTGCTATTAAAGAAAAAAAGAAAAAAAGTCATTTTGTGATATTATAGGATTTATTTGTATTGTTTTGATTTTAGTGTCTTACTTCATGTAATGCCAAAGACTTTTGTACTTTGAACCTGGTAAGCTCTAGTTGGTTTTATAAAGGGTATTAATGTTGTATTTTATATATAATCAATTATACTTCACTTTTTGAGGAGGGTTGCTTCAATTTCCAATTTTTTTAAATATAAAAACCAAAAATTTGATACAATTATAAAATGTTTCATTTTGATTTGATGTTGAATTTTCTTTGTGAGTTTTGCACTTTACTTTATAAAGTTGTAATACCTGTTTTATTTGTCTGTCATGTTAAGAGTTTTACAAGGGGTGAGAGTAAGTTACTCTGGTTTCTTGACCAGTGTGCAAATTTACTTCATTAAATTATAAATTAGAGACTTTCTGACCGTAAAAGGAAAGATGAGTATGCTGGCATCCTTTTTTTACCCCTATTTCATATGGAATTTTTCAAAATTTCTTCATGCATACAGTTCTATGTACTTTTAACTATAGAAAACAAATCAGTCAAGGAATGTGGTTGGCTAGATTCCTTTCAACCTAGTTATCCATTGTTCTGACTCTTTCACCTGTACTAGCACATGCACCTTCTTTTGGAGAGGATTCCTATAAAGTTGAACATATTATATAAAAGCAGACAGCAATCTTTTACCACTGGCAATCAGGTAATACCTTGAAATTACAACCTCTTTTATTTTTTGATGGGAATAACCAACAGTGACGTGGAAAATAAATGCACTCTGATAGCATGACTTTATTGATTTGAGTATATAATGGCATGTTTTCTCAGTTCATCACATAAATCTACAGTAGGTCTCATAAAAAGCTCTTAAACCTCCAAGAAGTGCTCTGTCTTAAATTATTACATTCACATAAATTGTTTTATTATGTGAAATAAAAGATCGTGTCACTCGATTTTCTTTGTTTCCAGTTTCGTTTTTTTGTCCACAACTCAGTAAAAAGTCAGGGAATACAGTTTGACTTTGCATAACATTTTCTGTTGAATCTATTGTTATTCTGTGGAATTTACTTGATTATCCAAGGAAATTGGTGCACTTGAGAATACCACAAGGGCACTAAAGATAAAAAGTGTCATATAAATTTAATCCTTTTCTGCATGTGCATGCTTATATCCAAATCTTTTATTTTATTGTGAAGTTCAATACTCACAAGATTATTGAAAAGATGGTTTGAGACAGGCTGTTTAATTATTACATAACTCTTATATATTTAATTTCATTTTTTAAAATGATTGATAGCTAATTTACATTTCGTAAGAAACTGCACCACTTATATGTTTACTAAAAACTATTTTTTTTATTAAATATTACTAGTTTTCAATTGTGTTCTATATATATATATATATATATGTAGAGATCTTCCAAACAGCAACACTATCATCTTAAAAAGTAAATTAATATTAATATAGCTCATACCAGTACCACTGTTATTTTTTTTTATTAGCAAAAGAGAAAAAGGTTTGTAAATAATTAATTCACTTGGTTCATTAGATAATTGATGTTTTCTTGAAAGCTGAAATAGCCCCCATAGACCTTTTCCTACCTCATTACCACTTGGGACAAACATCAATGATTTTGTTGCTGTAATAAAATAATAAATCTGAATATCTTTTTTTTAGACAGGTGACAGCACTTTTTAAGCATTCCATGGCAACTCATATTACCTATAATAGAGGATGTGCTGTGTTCATTAAATAAGGTACATAAATAAAAATTGTAAAAACATTTCAACTGTTCTGAAGTGAGTATCATCTTACAAAAAAAAAAAAAAGAAGAGGGAGGTAGGAATATTTGAACAACTAAATATTTTCTTGCACAATTTCAAACACTGATGTAGATTATTTTGGTCAATAGCATTTATAACTTCAGTTAGACATGCCTGATCATATGGTACAAATTAAAAAGAAAAACCTATTGACTTAAATTAATCTCTTTGTTTTGTGTAATTTTCTAAAACAAATATCACAAACCAACAAGTAAACAGGCTTCTTCTCTGTTTCAAGTTACTAAGCACGTTTATGAAACACACTGAAGAAAGAACAGAACATTCATGGCAATTATTTGTTGTATAGCTTAACTTTTGGTCTTACATCAGTTTGTATTTATCCTGAACAACATTATTTTTACTTACATGAGAATAAAGAAATTCTACTCACAGGCTATGAAACAATACCGAGACAACCAAGAATGAATAAATTAGCCTTACATGGCCTAACTATTCAAAAGTCAGACTGTAAAAAATAAAATGGTTATTATAAAGTCACAAAACGCCTAGAAATGAAATAATACTTAGTAGATTTATTAGATACTTAAAGCTTCAGAAATGAAGCAATTGTTTTCATGCTAACCTTATTACAAAAAGCAGCAAGTTTTTAGTTACAAAGAACACAGAAAAAAATCAGAATTTTGTTTCATTCACCCAATCATGCATAACAGCATTAAAGTATTTTAATGAGTGTAAGCCTGCCTTTGGTTACAAGTAACTCATAAAAAAAGGTAAAAAAAAGTCATGTTCTGGTTACTTTTTTGGTAGTATCAGTTTTAAACAAACACTAAGCAACATTAAAGCTTTTTTTATGTCGTCACATCAACTGTTTGAAGAAAAGTACCAATAATAAGAGGTTTAGATATTATTAAAAAAAAAGAAAGACCAAGAACAAAGGAACTTGGTCTGGTTACGGTCTTACAGCTTTATTTTATGTTGCCACATCAACTGCTTGAAGAAAATTGCCAATAATATGAGGTTTAGATATTATTAAAAAAAAGAAAGAAAGAAAGGCCAAGAACAAAGGAACTTGGTCTGGTTACTGTTTTACAGCTTTGTTTTATGTTGCCACATCAACTGTTTGAAGCAAACTGCCAATAATATGAGGTTTAGATATTATTAGAAAAAAGGAAAAAAAGAAAAACTAAGGAACTTTGCTTCTTTCTTTACTAGTGTTAAAAATATTAATTTACATGCCTTACTCTTTTATACAGTGAAGTTTTAGGAAAGCCAGCTTCCTGGATTGAAAATAAAAAGTGCATGATGTGGCAATATTTTTAAAATTTAGGGATCTACCATTCATCTTTTGACTTCTCCACCCAAATATTTAGGCACTTTAATTAAAACCACATTAATTACTTATACAATGTCTTCAAGATACCTTTTTTCAATTTTGTAGCACCTTATTGTTCTTATCATAATTCTCATTAACAGGTGACAAAATTGTTGAGCCCTAATTCCCTTCCCAAATCTGTATCATTTCACAAATGTGATTAGACCAGTGGCAATTTTTTCCCGTTTTACTTTTTTTGGATTGGAAGTTAAGCAAATGGAAAGCTTTAAAAGTATAACAGAGGACGCATTCACACAGTCTCACTCATCCCCTCTTTCTCACTTCTCCAAAGTTTGGTAGTGCATGCTGTCTTCTATGGCAGCACCCTCCAGTGGCTGTTTTTAAACTTGAACAGATCTCAGCTTATAAAATACCTTTCAGCAATTTATTATGGTATCTGAAAAGAAACAGAATTAATGTCACAGATATATTAAGATTCATAAGATTGGTTTATAAATATTCCAAAACAGTGTTAACTCAAGTGTTTTTCATATATAAAGCCTTTTAATTCATAGCTAATTTAATTACTAAGCCTCAGGTACTTACTATAACATATTTAAATGCTTGCTACAAATGTAAGTTCTTTTAAGATTGGGTACAGATTAAAATACTCATGCAAAATGGTAACACACATATTTAAAAATTCTTATAAAATTTAATAACAAGTTTAATATTTGTGCTATGTTTTTCAAAAAGCTGCCTATACTATACAGCAACTACAGTGAACTGTAACTTGTAAAATATTTTAGTCATGACAGAGCAAATCATGGTAATAAAACAATGTTGGCTGTGAAATAGCATTCCTTAATTTTTTAAATTATTATTATGTTCATATTTTATGCACCTTTTCCTCTGTTGTTTAGTTGAGCTGTCTCTTAATTTTCTTTATGCATGATGCCAACTCATATCAAATTAAAGTTAATGGTAATATACATTAAGTTGATCAGATGTTTTGTGAACAGCCAATATTTGTTTCATGCTGAGTTGTAATCTTGTTGTCTGGTAGTAAAGAGAGAAGAAAACATTACATAAACCACACACCAGAGAATGTGGAGTTTTAAACTGGATACTGCTTGAAACTTGGATACAGCTTACAAATGTTGCAAGTTTATAATTAATCAGAATGTGTAAGTTTTGTATTATTAAACAGGTCTTGTGATAATTTACAAAGGTTTTTTCCTCATTCTGATTCTTTTTTCCTAACTTCTTGTACTGAGGTTATATTGTTGAGTCAGAAGTTTGGACTTCAGCTGTGTATTATCTGTAAAAGTCCAGGCCTGATATTTACGAATTGTGGGCATATTTTGTTAAACTTGTGAAGGTCCTAATAAAGTCTGTTTTTATTGAGAATCCCACTTACACAGTTACTACCCACAGTTTATTTTTATGATTTAAACTGCAAACAGTCATTTAGCTTATGCTCAGAATTGAATGTTTGGTAGAAGCAGCTTTACATTTTTACAATTTATGACATTACTTTTCAATATGAAGTTTCAGTCACTTAGATCAGCAAGTGCACAATAACAGTAATATTGCATACATAAAAGTAGGAGAGTTGATAAGACTCCGAAATATCCTTAAATAAGACCTCTGAAAAACTTCTGTTCAAAACATCTCTAGTGTATGATGCAACTTTGTAGAATGCAACACATTTCCCAAGAATGTTTCATACATATCCTTGATGAGAGTGAAGTCCAACTGCCTCTCTTTTAAATTATGTATTATCCCATCACTAGTGTTGCTTAAGTTTAATCAGTATCTGGTTTTAACTGTCTTTGAAAATTGTATTTGAACTGAAATTGAAGACTGAGAAAATATCTTACAACCCTTACAATTTTGACATTCTAAAGGAATCATTGTCTTAATCACTCCTGACACTTATTCATGATAAACAGCAGACCCAAGAGACCTGTAACGATAATTATGCCAGACCTGTACTTCACACAATGAAATTCCCATACATGTTTATATCTTTAATATATAAGTAAAAGTCAGAATTTCTAACAATAAAAAAAGTTAGATAACTCATCATGTTTATACATTCAAATCTTTCTTCAGGCCAAATAACAGTCACAGCTCAGGTGAATACACTCAAGATATAAAGCTTACAGAAGAGAAATACCCCATAATATGAAATCCAAAAACATTTAACACCAAAGCTAGCCTACTGAAACAATACAACAGAGCATTATTATAAAATAAATAGTGCATATAAAATTTAGCCAACTACATAATGTCTAAATAAGGCTTATTGTAATGAATATGCTGATAGAGTTATGGTAGACCATGTTACCTATAGAACAGTGATTCATAATCAATGGTACATGAGGATACTGAAGGTGATAAACAAAACAATTCATTTGAGCCATTCTGCAATTCAAGTATTAGGTCATCAAGAAATTAATGTCGCTTTTTTATAGATGAAATAACCCAAACAACTTATATATATCAAAACAAAACATTTATAAAATTAAATAGTCTCCATTCTTATCAATGATGCTTGTCAATGCCCTGATTAAAAAAATCACTTGGCTTTGGCGATGTCCTCTTTAACACCTTCCACATTTGCGTACATTTTCCCATTAAGACAGATACCCCTATGATTACAAACATAGTACACAACTACAGTTCGAGATTACTAAGTGATGCTGAAAACAAGATCCTTAACCTAGGCTTAAATTTCGCCATACATCCTAGCACAGTTCCAGCAGTTGACATAGCTGCAACCTTAGAATCTGCTGCACAAAACCTCCCAAAACCCATGGCTGAATAATTCCGACATCAAACTTACACCATCCTCAGGAATGCCAAGAAACCAAAACCTAACATCACCAAACCAGAATACAATGCACTGAACCGTCTAAGACGGGATGACACTATCAAGATTCTACCAGCAGACAAAGGAAACAGTATAGTCATCTTAGACGTCAAAGATTACGACTCAAAGATCAAGCAGTTACTAGACAAACATCAATACAAAAAGATCACCAATGACCCTACAGAAAAGACAAAAAGACTCATCAACAGAACACTGAACAAACTTAGGAAACAAAACTTAATCTACGAGAAGCTAGCCAAAGACCTAAGAACCAACGAGAATTTCCCCCCTCAATTCTATGGACTACCTAAAGTACACAAACCTAATATACCTTTAAAGCCTATAGTCAGTGCTATAAATTCACCTTGCCATCAACTAGCAACATTCCTGGTACCTGTTTTATCTCCACTATGAGGGAATATCGAATAACATATTCACAATTCAACAGATTTCATAGAACAACTCAAAAGCCACACATCAGATCTCAGGATATTCTAGTCAGTTTTGACGTCACAGACCTATTTACCAATGTTCCGACCTCAGAAACCCTTCGTATCACCAGACAACGACTGCTGAATGACAACTCTCTATCACACAGAACTGCCATGAAGATAGACACCATCATGGAACTAACGACTATTTGCCTACAATCAACTTATTTTCAATACAACGAGAAATTCTACAAAGAAACAGATGGTCTAGCCATAGGATCACCACTCTCTCCAATCTTAGCAGACATTTTCATGGAAGACTTTGAAGAAAGAGCCCTTTTATCCACACATATAAAACCAAGTTTCTACAGATGTTATGTCAACGACACTTTCGTTATCTGGCCCCACGGTCGTGAAAACCTAACAGCCTTCTTACAACACCTTAATTCAGTAGACAAGAATATTCACTTCACCATGTAAATAGAGGAACAAAATAGCTTATCATTTCTTGACATACTGATCAGCAGAAAAGAGGGAAAAATCACCACAACTCTATACAGAAAAACCCACTTTCAGTCCTATCAACAAAACTAGATAAAACGTGGTATAATCCAGTGCCTAAACAAGAGAGCAGAAAACATTTGTGATAACACATTCATCGAAACAGAACGCCAAAACATCATACACGGTGTTTTAAACAGAATTGTTGCACCTCTTCCTTCATCAAGAACTCCCTGAAGAAGACCACAACAGAAAAGAAAAATAAAGAAACCACTACACTACAACCATATACCTCCCATACCTGTAATATATCAGTGAAAAACTCAAACAAAAAAGCTAAGAAATTCAACATAGACGTCTGGTGGAAGTCTTACAAAACACTAAGATCCATTGTGGTGAAGAACAAACAGAAACCTACCAACAAAAAACAGAAAAACGTCATTTACGAAATTCCGTGTTCCTGCAACAAAACATACATTGGAGAAACGGGAAGAATACTCTCAACAAGAATAAAGGAACATAAAGACATCACAAGACTCATGAAAACACAAAATTCAGCCTTTGCAGAACAAGCCATGTCAACTGGACACAACATAAACTGGAAAAAAGCTAGTATCATCGACACAGACAAATTTTGGAAGACAAGAAAAATTAAAGAATCATTTTACATTAACACAATAAAACCTTCACTAAACAGAGATTCAGGATTAGAGGTGAGTAAACGGTGGCTACCATTGGTTGAGGCTACAGGAAGTCTCTCCTCCAATCAGAAATGTGTTTTAGCCAACCAATCCTAACATGCTCTCCACAGTCCACTAGGACACTATAAAGACCAAACTACACCACACACACACTGACCTGAAGACAAAAGGTGGAAGACTTTTGAAACGTCATCCTCTACATTTGTAGATTTCTACAACAGGCAGTTGTTGTCCATTTCAAACTTAGATTTATTATGAATATTCTGCCTAAACAACCTATCAAAGATTACTTAGAGGTATACTGTTTATAAAAACACTATAAACAGATTTGTAGTCTTCTAAACAAAATGTTCAAAGAGTAGCTACTAAAAACATCTAAAAATAAATGTTTTAAGCATATAAATCATAAGATAAAGAATTACTCTCTAAATGTTTGCAAAAAATAAAAAAAATTATTTCTGATCTTCATTTGTGATAACAACTCAAAAATTGAACAAAACAATACAATGAAAAATTATGTGTTTAGACACAGCTGAAAGTCAAACCTGAACTACTTGTATTAAGTTCTAATTTTTTTTATCAAACAAAAAACTTACCATGAAGATACAACATTTTTAAGTTTTCTAACTTCCTTTGTTGCCCAACTAGCTAGTGTTTTGGTCTTAGTAGCTTTGGAGCGACGGCCTTTCGTAAGTAAGTCACTAATGACATCATTATCAAGGAGTGGTAACATGTTTGATCCAAAGGCTGAACAAAGGTCCCTAAGTATCAAAAACTTGTAATTAATAATACTTTATAGAATTTGGAACCAAAGCCATTAAAATGAACAAAACTTTGGAATAAGAAGTTTGCCCACAAAATAATGCTGTACACAAGAGCATTGAAAACTTCTTACCCAATAAGACCAGCACAAGCAGCTATGTTCTCATCTGAGTGATCTGGGTCTTGAGCTAGGTGTTTGATGAATTCTACTACATACTGTACGTGAGGTAAAACAAGCTGGACATCGGCTAAAGGAGATGGACGAGTAATTATAACAACCTTATTTCACCATTTTATATCATTAATAGTTTATAATATTTGAGATAAAAAAATATAACAAAAGGCATAAGTTATTAATTACACAAATAAAGTTAAAGATGCAAGGTTTTAAAGTTTATTTATTTTTAAGATTAGTATAAAAATACAAACTCTCTGTCTTCTAGTCTTTAAAATTTGCAACCAGACAAATACAAATATAGTTCATGCATATAACTGAATCTTAGTTGTTATATTTTCATCTATTTTACTTGCATTAATAAAAAAGTAGTACGAGATGGAATTCCCTCAGTTCAACAACAAAACCATTTTACTTCATTTTGCTACATATAATTATGGGGTTTAGACCATAGAGGGAATTCAACACTATGATATAATTTTTATGGAACCATCTATGATGCTCAAATTCTCAGAATCATTAGTTTGTCTTTCAAAAATACTAAAAGATTAAAGTTCCAATATTCTTATAAAAAAACATGATTTACTGATAGATTGTTCTTATTTATACTAAAACATTCAAATAAAAGACAAAAACGAAACTGAAATAAACTCACAGCTTGGTGCACTTTGGTCCCCTTTGAGTCCCTGAACAATACCTGTGTAAGCTTCTAAACATCCTTCACGAAGTGCATTTAGATACTCTACCATGTCATAGTCTATCTGTCACAAACAGTAATCAATTTACAACTACTTTAAGAACTAAAAATCATTACTTTATAAAATCGTTAGAAAATTAAAAACTAATTGACAATTTGGGTGACATCATTGCATCTCATAAATTGTAAACAAGAGATTTTAGTCCAGATAAGATGACCAAAGTTTAATTCATTATACACAGCTAAAAAAGAACTAAACAATGACCTAAATGTTTATATTCTAGGAAAAACAAGGCACAATTATTAAGTAACCTTAATGGCATCCAAGTTACCTGCTATTAAAAAAAAGTGTCAGATGATGAGCCACGTGATCTGATATGCAAATATCTAGCAGTGGTGTCCATGTTCTCAAATGTTCATTTAATACTAAAGTTTTACATTCCAATAAAAGAAAATTTTTACGACAACACTAATTCAAGTTATACATGTATATGCTTAAAATGGGTGACTCAATTAACTGCTGGGATAATATTGTTTCCAGACCATAGTTTCTTCCAGTTGATCAACATTAACAAGTATCTTCCCAAATTATCCCACACACATTAAATTCAACTTTGATAAGTAAGTTGGTCATATTTTCTTGACACCTTCTTTTATTAGAAAGCTGCTAACTAGTTTGGCCAATATAGTAACATAGTTATAATGCTACATTACTATATTGTATGGCACCCATAATGCCATTTCATAGCACAGAAAGGTCAGCGTGGGCACTAATACTGACCCTTTCCCAGACCAGTATGCTGCCACTGAGACATGCATGTCTTTTCTCCATTGGGGTTGAATCTTGTCCCCTTCACTCTCCAAATAATTATGCGATTTTTATATGGCTACTGTACGTAGCGCTAGGTGATTTAATATATTACCCATGAGTAGTAATTACATCCATTAATGTCTTATAAACTAACTGATTAACTGAAATTATGATTGATTGATTAACGTCACCAAAATAATCAAATAATTCAAATTAGTGTTTCTGATAATTTCAATTATATAAGTAATCAAATACTGCCATTATATTTCTTTCTTGTTAAATACCTAATGGCAGAATGAGATGATATGAGGGTCTCAGGTTATATTCCAACTGTTATTAAACTTGATCATCCTGTGTTTGTTATTGTAAGACTACTATGGCTATCTGCTGCAACCACTAATTTGAACTACTGACAAAAGAAATGGTAAATGGGTGGTAACACCCACTGCCAACTCTGACTATTTAAGAGTTAAAAATTAAAGGGTAAAGTTATATACTGAAAATGTATATCTGATACCTATTAACCTCTTCTCACATAAATAGCTGTTCTCATTTAGTGCTGCCCTCTATGTACAAAAAAATATTTTTTTACACATGCCACATGCCTTTTACCTCCACTCCATTAGAATTGACTGATTCCAATGTGTTTCTCAAGCAAATCATCATGCGTCATAAATAAGAGTGCAACATACACTCATGATGCATGTGACTCCCTTTATTTAATTCTACTAAACTATCACTTCAAGTTTTGGCAGAAGATGGAAGTACCAGTTTTCAGTGGGAAGTGTGAGAGGAGGTACCTACCTATCAGAAATACATTTTCAGTATGGAAAAATTATAATTTCTGATACAGTAAATTACCTCTACTCCCATAAATATCTAGAATCCCACATTGAATAGGTGGAGGTGAACGGTGCGAGGGAAAGAAAGAAGTATCCTTCGAAAGTGTCCAAAGGACCTTCCCTAAGAGGAGACAGTCAGATTCTAAGACCACTTCTGAACCAGGCATACTCTTTGCCCATCGTAGAAAAAGGTCACATGCATAGGCAGAAAACGGAGGAGTGCATCCAAGTGGGAGAGAACTAGGGTCAGATAATGATCCGAACCATATATTTATGCAGATCTATCACAGAAATTATAAAAGTGGGTAAAATTAAAAGGATGTGTCCTAGTGGCTAGAGTGTGAAGGACTTTACACAGCAAGTCAACTACATCCAAAACCTGGCCACTGGGTACCAACATCCATGTGGGGATAGAAAAAAAGATCATACCACCAGCAAGGTGACTACAAGCCAAAACCTGGCCATCAGGTACTGACATCCAAGAGGGGGTAGGAAAGAGGATCATACCGGTGATAAGTCAACTTCAATCCAAAACCCAGCTAACCTCAAGTTCATGAAGCCAAACAGAATCAAGAACCCTCAGACCCATGAACAGGCCACATGTTAATAGGAAAAATTGAGAAATCAATCCAGGAACCAGACATCCAATGTTGAAAAGATGTCTGTGTGATGCAAACCATCTCCCTCAAAAGTGAAATTGACCAAAACCACCGCAACTACAGTAACATCCTCGGAATATTAAGCATCAAGAGATAGCGGAAGGGGAAGAACCATAATAATCTGCAAGTACCTCTACCGTGACCCACAACATGGATGGAGTAACAAGAGTATAATTGAGGGAGGAATATAGACATCTGTAACACGTGTGAGGACTTGCATTGATTGGTTCAACTCTAAATCCAAAACCCAGCCACTGGTAACCGGCATCAACAAGGGGATAGGATGAGGGAGAATTACAATTTGACGGCTCACTATCATTTAGATGTGTTTCATAATAGAGAATATCACGTAATCTACACCAGAAGAACACCACCACCCTACTCTCAACTGAATGGTTGTATAATCATTTCTATATTTTGCCTATATTTCATTAACCCTCAAACTCCACTAGAAGAAAAAAGGGGGAAAACGTGGTGGAGAATACCTGGTCAAGCACCACTCGCCACAGAGTGGGATCCAAACAATGAGCAATAATAAAAGGGAAAAAGGCCCCTGAAAAGGAAAAAAAACTTATCCAGTCAAAGTCTCACTGAATTCTGAAGAATAGCTACAGGTGGAAAATGATAACCCAAAGAGGAAAAAAAAGAACAACATGATCTGGTGTAAATAGTGAAAGACAAACATATCATGGGTAGTCCACATGCCCAATTGAAGAAGCACCTCCAAGGAACAACAAAGATGAAATGCCAATGAAAATATAAGATGATGAATTAGACGAGAAGACACCCAAAACAAGGTACGGAAAGAAGACAATAATGAACAATAAGCCAATCGAATTAAAAGATGAACCCAGTTGGCAAAGGTGGAAGGAGAAATATCATGATTAGAGGAGAGCTGCCAAGGAAGAAAAAGGTGGGAACTAACACCACAGAAGGAAGCTGTGTAGGCAATATAACAGAGAAAAGCATGTGCAGTACATAGAAGTCTATCCGGATCAGGTCAAGGATAAATGTGTGAAACGGAAGGATGGGAAAGCGACAAAATGGAGGAGTTATCCTCACAAGCTGCTGAAGAGTTAGAGTGGAAAAAGAATCCAGAGAAAGAAGATATGTAGAAGGATAAAGAGTACATGAAACATTGATGGTAAATAAACAGACCACTGACATTCACAGGTGAATAGAAGGAAGGAAGACATAAGGGAAGGTGAAACAAGGAGCACTGGAAGAGTGGTTCAATCATAGATGAAGAATCCAGAAGCAACACATCAACAGGTAAAGTGTAGAAGAGGTAAATATGTGCAGGATTGGGAAAAACAAAAGGTGTGGGACAGGGCTGCCCGAAATTCCAAGACTGAGGAGGCAGAAGATCTGTGATCCAAAAGTCATGTGAGGAAATCTGCATGACAAAGAACGGTGGGTTAATCAGGGGAAAACCCTGGACCAAGAAACCAACGATGTAAAAAACATTCCAATAGTGTTGAGAAACTTACATGGAGGAAAGGCAAATGAAACAAGCCAGAAAAGAAGCTAACCATAGGGAGAAGCCAGATCTCCTTACCAATGACCAAATGAAAACCAGGCATGAAAACGGCAGACAGGAGATTCCAGATGAAACAACAGTGACTAAGGTTGGTGAAGAAAAGACAGAGTCAGAGGAAGAGGTAACAGAGGAGGAAGTTGGAGTTAGAGAAGCCACAGCTAATATGGTCAACAAAGAGTGTTAAGGACAATTGAAATCACCTGGAGAAGAAGGAGAACAACAGGATAGCCAAATGTGTTGGTCCAGCCCTGGCTGAAAACATCAAAAGCCAGAGCAAGAAGACACAGGGACTGGAGACCAAAACCAAGGCAACTTGTGGTTAAGGGACGTAGGAAAAGCTTCAATGTGAGGAGTACACCACTGAAGTCAAAGCCACTGGAAAACAAAAGGATCAATAGACCTCTCCATTGGATAGATTTTGTTTGGACGGGAATCCAATCCATGACATGCAATGATATTAATATCGAGCATATGGGCCCAAAAAGAAGATCCAACATATGAATACAGAAATATCCTGGTGATTCAAATAAGCAACCACTGAATAAAAGTTGGAATGGATCATTACCAGACAATTTCTGGCCAGATGGAGAAAATGGACCAAAATATGACTTACAGCAAGAAGCTCCAGGATGTTAATATGATAAGACCACTCAGCCACAGATCAAAACCCCAAAGCTTCCAGTTGATCAACCCATGTCCCTCCATCCCTAAAGGAATAGAGCCATGAAATGTGTAAATCCACACGAGGAGGAGAAAGCAGAACACCCACCGACATACGAGTTGTGTCCAATCACCAACTCCAATCGTTGACAAGAGTAGGAGAAAGGGTAATAAGAGCCAACAAAGGATCCCTTGCATAATTCCACTGGTCATGAAAAGCCCACAGAAGAGCCAGACGTACGGGAATAAGGGCTACCATGGAAGATCACATTCCTAAAAGCGAGAGAGTTTTGTGAGCTGTAACAGAACTGAAAACCCATTGAACAAAATGAAAGAGCCGTAGGCCAGACTGAGATGGGTGTTCAAAAAGAAAATCACCAAAATGGAGAAGATACTAAATAGGTTGCAGTAAGGACTTCTCCAGTTTGATTAACTAGCCCACTATAGCCACCTTCAGGAGCAGCTGATAAGGGTAACATGCAGACTCTTGTTTGGAATGAGCTAACAGTAGCCAGTCATCCAAAGAAATAAGAAAATGCAACACAAGTGTATGTAAGTGACGAACAAATGCCCAAACCTCCCAACAAAACATACAGAACTGAAGCAAGTCCAAAAACAGATAAACCACCCCATGGAGAACAAACCAAAGAGAGGGTCACAAGTGATGGGACATGCAAATGAGCATTTGCAACATTCCTCTTGGTCATCTATAAACCTGGAGAAAAAGCCCACCTAAGGGTGAAAAACAACTCCAAGGTAAAACAGGGCAGATTGAAAATTAGACTGAGGCAGGCCAACCTAGTCTCTGGGTTTTCATGAGAACAACAAACAGCCTGGAATAAAACCTGCCATGGGGATGGAAAAGGGTACCTGAGACAAAGGGTGTGGGGAAAGAAACAGTAGGACAAGTCCCTCTGATAACACTTGAAGAACCCATGGATCTGTAGTGAAAGATTGCCAAAGGGTGACAAAATCATACAGTCAAGCTTTCACTGGTTAGTCTCCAGTACTGTTGGCAAACAGCCCATCTATGTTGTATAAAAACCCCTGGAAGGAAGAACAGGGAAGGTTAGATAAGGACCAGGATGGGAAAGGAATAAGAGCTTGTCATGGTTTTAACTGTGACAAATGTGCAACCAAAGAGGAAAGGATATACTGTTGAAGCACAGATTACACACGTGATTCCAAAGCCCCAGGTACATGATCGAAAAGATAATGCCAAAGAAAAAGGGCCATACATAAATCCCTAAAAGAAAGAGGTGGCAAACCAATTTTGGACAAGGTCACATCACGAACCAGAAAAACCAACACCTGAGAAATCACACATGTAAAGCTAGAGCCAAAGATGACAAACAAGACAATGTGGAGGTAAAAAGGAATCATAAAAAAAGGAGAAATTGGATAAAACATCACATATCTAAGAAATCATGTCGAAAAATGCCGTATTAGGCCTAGCTGATTCTGCAGGATGGGTAGGAAAAGACATTGCAAACTCTGGTGGTGTAAGAAGGCTGTCAAATCTTCGTCGGCCAGAACAGGTTTGGCTTGTTCAGGAGGATTAGTGGGGCAAGTTCAAAAGGACGATGACCCATATAATGATCAATCTTACAGCGAATAATTGCAGAGAAATCCAATGCCAGATCTCTACCACATGCAGCCTGTAAAAATTGTGCTAGAAGTATAACACCCAAAGTGGGAAAATGAACCTCAAAAATTCATTGCAGAAATACATAAATCAAACAAGTGTTTGATGTAAAATATGGAAGTGTGAGAAAAAAAATAAAGACTTGGAAATTAAGTTAAAGTAAAAGATTTCTTCAATGCAAAGAAAAAAAAGTAATGAAGAAATCCCACTTCAGAAATTAAACTTTTAAAATCAGAAAAACAATTCACAAGAAGACCACCAAAAGAAAAAACGTCTGAACAAAAGTAGTGCCAAATGAGAAGTGATAATTGGTAAAATTGAATGGGGGGAGTCACATGCATCATGAGAGTATGTCACACTCTTATTGGTGGAGGGTTATGCTTGATTTACATGCAAGGTACAGTGGAATCAGTCGATTCAAATAGAGGGGAGAGAAAAGGTTTATAAAATGCATAATATTTTGCATATAGAGGGCAGCACTGAAGGAGAATAGCTAGTTATGTGAGTGGAGGTAATGTACCAGAATTTACTGGTATTTTTACAGTGTATTATGTTTCTAACTTATAATTGCATAAACATATTCTTTAATGTTGTATATTCAGGCATGGATCTAGGATAGGTGGGTCTAGGGTGTTTTAAATGCCCTCTATTTTTTTCTGGAATTAATAACTATTCTTTAATGTTGTATAAGCAGGCATAGATCTAAAGCAAGGGTAAACTCCCCTCCGCCCATTAAAAAAAAATAAAAAATAATAACTGCATTATCTAATATTGTATCACCAGTCATGGATCCAGATGGTCTAGAACCCTTCCCCTCCATTTTTTTGGTAAATAATAATCATATTCTTTAAATGTGGTAAAAGCAGGTGTAGATCTAAGGGTCTGAGCCCCCTAACCAAACTGGTTAAGAAGGAATTATAATGTATTTTCATTAGAACTGCTTAACACATTACCTGATGAAGGGTTTAGGCTCAAAACACTGCTCAATAAGTCACCTTTTAATTTAACATCTTTCTAGTGTTACCAATTTTTTTTTAAACACACAACAAGACGAATGTCAGTTAAATGTTGCAGTGGTAAATTTTCATGCCTCATGGTTTTCCAGAAACTCAAAATGTGTCTAGACTTTAAAAGGCATCTTGTTTACCAATGCTATAATTTTCTTTCTAAACATGATTATAAATAACTATTTAAGAATTTGAATTGAAAATTTTTAAATTTTGATATCAATCACATTAGTAGAAATAAAGATACAAACTTTGAAAACACTGGATTATAACCTGACTGAGCTAATCATTTACTGAATATATTAACATTATTTTAACTTTGACTTGCTTAGGTTACTTTAGAACTGTATGGCCAACACTGATCAATACAATATACTATTATAGTGAAAGTCTCTTTTTTCATGTAAGAAATACTGAAAATTTGGTTAGTGTTACATAGATAACTTCTAAAAAAGTAATTGGTATCACATCATCATTGTAAAAATGAAACATTTTTACAGCTAGTGTGGATAAGTTAAAAACATTGATACTTGTAAACACAATACTATAAAATGGGAATAGATCTAGTATTATTCTTATCCATTCTCTAACGATCTTCAAACTTTTTAAGATAGTTATAACTATCATATGTTTTATTTTACAAAATAAATTGACATTATTAACATTTTTATGTTGTTTGACTTCAAATTTAGACTGCTCTAATATAAAAAAATACATGGTTTTTACTTTGGCTAAATACTTGTTTGCCTGACTGACTGGTTATAAAGTGTTTTTATATGTACATACATATATATCTGTAAATTCTATAAATGTATAAAAATAGTGAAGTAACAAATAAGATAACTGCACCTGGGACATGATAATGTCTTTTTTTTTATTATGAGTGCAAAAAAAAAGTGGCCTGGTAAATCAGTAGGTTTAATTTTTATTCTTCTATAAAACAAAACAGATCATAATAGATCATAAAGCTTTTTGACATTGTGAGCCATGTACAATAACATATCAAGTACTTTAACTATGTTATTATAAAACTGCCAAATTATATACTATAAACAAAAATTGACATGGGAGCAAGCAACTTCCTACGAGTCCTACAAGCTGACTACTAGTAATTTGGGTAAAATAGTGAAGTCAACCTCATACAAAGATATGCATAAGCTAGCAAAGAGTCTAATGAATGCAATATTAAGCAATATCAAAATCCTATCATTTTTAACTGAGTTATAGAGCAAAAATAGTGTAAAAAATTGGTACTCATGTTAACAGATAGAGAATTTAGGATTTTCATGAACTATGAACCTCTAAACACTAATCACTTCTAGGTTGGGTCTTAGTCTAAGTGTATACTAACGTTCGTCCACATCCATTCCATTAGAAAACTTGAAATAACTGTAATCTAACACAGAAATTAGTTACCAAAAGCTGTCTACACAATTCACACTAACAATTTTTTTTTTAAAGCTCCTATATATAATAGTGACTCATAATTTATTTAACATCAGATTTTAAGTCTTTTGAAAAGGTAACACTAACAAATAAAAACATAAGTAAATGATACAAACTAAAGTTAATACTGATTGAAGTACACATGGTTTAATTATACAAAGCAGTTCCAAATCATTAATAGTTATTAGTGTATAATTATTTACAAAATATTTTTTTAAGTATTTTTATCATTCTAATACCCCAGAATTGTACGCTGCAGACTTACATTGGAGTTTCTCATGTTCTTTTTTTTGTTTTTTTAATTCATAATTTACATTTGAAATCATATTCTGCAGTTATTGTCAGTTTTTACATAACTACTCCCTCTTTCATTTCCTGTTAATTAATCCCCTCTTTATTAAAACAGCCAACAACTGAACATTTTGAATTGTAGCCTCTATTGGCTGTGATAACTACATGGGCTTCATAAAATCTATATATTGTACAACACTGTATTCAGATATTAAAACCTTTATACATGAAAACACAATGTTGTACTGAAAAGTACATTAACAGTAGCAACTCCTCTTTTAGTGTATATTTATTCAAAATATGAATAACAACATCTAAACAACAGCAAAGACATAAAGAAGTGTGGAGAGCATAATAGACTTACCTTCTCTATATGAGCTGAAGATGCCTGCATTAAAGTTTGCAGAACAATCTCCAGATACTTTTTAAATTCGGGACCTATGGCTAGAGCTATATCACCAAATACAGAGAGGATGTGGGGTTTCACTGAGCGATGAACATTATTATTCTATAAAAAAAATTAGAAGATTCTGAAAACCCAGTATAATTTGCAAAGGTAAGATATTGGAAGGTTGATACTACAGTTACCAGTTATGCTGTGTGTGAAAACTGGGATCTGCTCCTTACTAACTATTTATACAATGAAGTTTAAGATTAAAAGATGTACAAAAAAAAAATCCTATTAATTAACCCTATTTATATGGGCTTGGTCACTTTGGCCAACCTTGCAACCACCACATAACCATGAAACAATACATACGATAACATCATAAGTCTTTTACAAATAAAAATCATCAGTTTTTAATTAAGTATTTTTATAAATGATTTGTCTGTGAACTTATGGCTAGTCTGATTGCAAGGTGACTTTCATGTTATAATGAAAAAAGGTGTTTTTTCATCTTAGTTTTTGAATTTCATTTGAAAAAAAAAACCTCTAGATCCTCCTAAATTAATATTATTTTTTCCATTAAATCTTATATCTTTTCTGTTATTTTATCTAACCTAAAACTATATAGGTTGGGCCCATTTGACAAACCTTATAACCACCCCAAATAAATAAAAAAAATTACACTTTTTGCATTCTAGAGTGACTGCAGATTGTAACAGAAAATTATAATTATTTATCCTAAATAACCTCAGGCTCATAAGAGTTTACTTCCATTTTAATATAATTTTATAGTTTTATTTTTCATTGAAGTGTGTCTGTAAGCTAGAAAACACCTAGCAAACACATAGCTTATGTTACGGTAGTGAATTACCTAATGCACAAGCTACTTGTGTGCATACCTTGTGGGGAAAATAATCTTTAACCTTGTTACTTATGTTTTATTATCTAATCTAATAGGTTTCTAATTTTTACCTTTTAGTTACTTTTATAAAAAGTAAAAATTGTACATTAAAAAAATTTAGTACTTCTTTGTGGGTGTTTTACTTTTTTGCAGTCAAAGACTTAAAGTGTTGATAATTTGACCTTCATTTTTGTAAGGGTTATTGTTAGTACTAAAATAATTCCCTTAGCTGGTTAAGGTGAACATAGCAATAGCATCTTTGAATGTGTACACCATATAATTCAAAAGCTGTCTTATGAATAAGCTAGCATTATACATAAATCAGTGAACTCAAATCTTTTTCTATTGGTTTTAAAAAATTCTTTGAAAGGCAGTATGTAATAGGAGGGTGTGGCACGTGGGTTGGACTTTCTGATTTATATCCAAGTAAAACAAGAAGACTGGAGGCTATAAGGTTAGATTATGTCTCAACAAGTCTGTAATTTTCATTGAAACTCAGAAGCTCAAATAGGAGTGGAAATCACCAAACTTATTTAAATATTTCCTTTAAAAATTCATAAATTAAAATTTATATAATATTAAAATTTTATTTATTAAATATGTTTTGATGCCCTTTTTATTTAAATACTTAATAATAAAGTAGTTTAACTTTCAGCACAAGCTCAGTCCTGGGACTGACCTCATAACCATTTTGTGCTTGTTATAGTTTTTCATGCTATAACTTTTAATTTAATAAGCATAAGTTAATGAAATTTGGCAGATTATCAATACATATTACAATGCTTTCATATGCAAAATATCAAAATTTTTTATTAAGTCTTAAGGTTTATTAAGCAATGTTTTTCTCATGCCTTTATTTTCTTTTCACATCTTGCCTGTCTATCATGCAAAGTAATTTTTATTCTAACATTAAAAATACTTTTATGCATCATAAAAGTATATCAGTAAACATTTCAATGGTATCATCGGCAAAATATCTAACTTTTTAAATAAGTCTTAAGCAATGTTTCTCTCATGTCTTTTTTCTTTTCACATGTTGTCTATCTATCGTGCAAAGTAATATTCATTTTAAGATCAAAAATACTTTTATGAATCAGAAAATTTTGAAATTTCACATTCAAAAGCTTTATAATGTCCTGATAGTGATCAAATGTTTCAAAATGTTATCAAAAAAGGGAAAATCTTTATATTTTATATTTTCATTAACAAATCTCTGTATGGGTTTGGTAAATTTGACCTATCTTATAACTACCACAAAAATTAGGAAATAAATATAAATTATGCCTCTTTAATTCTAGAATGACAATAAATTATAACACAAAAACATAAATGTTTAGATTAAATAGCTTAAATTTCATAACATTATACATATATTTGTTATTTTTATTATATTGAATCTTTCACCCATGCCTGGCTAACAATACAGAAGTTACAATGACGATTAACGATATTAGGAAATAAATATAAATTATGCCTCTTTAATTCTAGAATGACTATAAATTATAACACAAAAACATAAATGTTTAGATTAAATAGCTTAAATTTCATAACATTATACATATATTTGTTATTTTTATTATATTGAATCTTTCAACCATGCCTGGCTAACAATACAGAAGTTACAATGACGATTAACACGTTACTCTCACTTAACAATATAAAATATTATAAAACTGACCTTTGGTCTTTACAAAATGACCTGTCTTGGCTGTGTTTTAGTAGAATATATTTTGTAAAATACAGTCGCATTTTAATTATTATACATTATATATGTATTCAGATTATTACTGTTTAGAAATAGTTTTTTTAAAAACTAAGCTGTATTTCAGTCTAAAAAAATATGAAATTTTGAGCAGACTTAAGATATAACTTACCTCCTTGAAATCTTGGTTCGAAAGAAAGAGATGGCATCCTAACACATGAAAATGGCTGAGAAAGCCACTAGGGCAACATTCTGAGCTTTTGAATGGTTATTCACATGACATATGTTGAAGTAAGTGTATACAAGTGACCGTTTCCAAAAATGGAAAGAGGTGAGCGGGGCCCATTGTGTCTGATTCATTACGAGTGATATATGAGCAAAGAGAAAAGATAGGTTCTTATTTTATATTCTAGATTTTTTATTGTGGTAACTTGAGTTCCTAAATCGTATGAATTTATAGACTTAGTATTTTGACATCATTTCATTTATGTAACCTTTAAAACCTCCTAAAGACATATCAAATGTTTGTTTTGAGTAAAACTTCATATTTTATCTGTAATTTTCTGAACCCTAAGTCTATACAAGGTTGGTGAATTTGATTAAATTTGTAACTACCAAAAAAAAAAAAAAAAAAAAAAAAAAAAAAAAAAAAAAAAA